GCGTTCTCCCAGCAAATCCTAACGACCGGCTTCAGGAATCGGCTTTTAACTTACAGGCGGCAAATGGAAAACCGATCGCTACGTATGGCAAAAGGTACGTTTACCTTAACGTGGGTTTACGCAAACCCATCCACTGGATTTTCGTTGTTGCAGATGTTTCTATGCCAATCATTGGTATGGATCTTCTACAACATCACAATCTGATCATCGATACGCGCAAACGGAGGCTAGTAGACGGAAACACTAATTTGTCCGTTTGCGTAACTTCTTTTACTGGTTGCAGAGTATCCCCAGTCACAATTAAACATATGATAGACCCACTCTATCAACCACTACTCGATAAGTACCCTGGGATACAACAAACTCAACCGAAACTACCGTGTGTAACCAGCAATGTTACACATCACATCACGACTACAGGACCACCTGTATTCTCTAAAGCACGACGACTAGCTCCTGAAAAGCTAAGGTTAGCGAAAAACGAATTCGATCACATGATGGACTTAGGGATCATATGACCGTCAAGTAGCCCATATGCATCTCCGTTGCATATGGTCCCTAAAAAGGACAGCAACGATTGGCGTCCAACTGGTGACTATCGGCGATTGAACGCGAAAACCATTCCCGATTGTTACCCGTTGCCTCACATTCACGATTTGACAGCTACTTTGAAAGGTACAACTGTCTTTTCGAAAATCGACTTGGTTAAAGCGTATAACCAAATCCCTTTGGCTACTGACGACATACTGAAAACAGCTATCATAACTCCTTTCGGACTCTATGAATTTTTGAGAATGCCTTTCGGTCTAAGGAATGCTGCTCAAACATTCCAAAGATTCATAGACGACGTTTTTCGAGGTCTCAACTTCGTACACGCGTATGTTGATGACTGTCTAATCGCAAGTCCGGACAGAGAATCACATCTCAAGCATCTGGATCTTGTTTTCGAACGACTACAAAAACATGGCATTACTGTAAACGTTCAGAAATGCCAATTCGGAACCGACTCATTAGACTTTCTGGGACACACTATCGATGCTCAAGGTATCCGACCCCTTAGAACCAAAGTGGCGGCCATTCTGGATTACCCAAAACCGACCACCGTCAAGCAATTACGCACGTTTAACGGCCTCGTAAGTTTCTATAGACGTTTCATACCGAAATGCGCATTACTCATGAAACCTCTGACCGACCAACTTCGTGGAAATGCGAAATCCATTAATTTGGACGACACCGCACGAAAAGCATTCTCCACAGTTAAGGAACTGATTGCTAAAGCAACAATGCTCGCACATCAGGACACCCGAGCACCCATTAGCATCGCAGTAGACGCATCCGACTCGGCAATCGGAGGAGTCTTACAACAATGGGTTAACAACTCCTGGCAACCCTTGGCATTTTTCTCTAGAAGGTTGCTAGACACCGAATCGAGGTACAGCACATTCGGTAGGGAACTCCTAGCTATGTATTGTGCTGTACGGCATTTTCAACACTACATCGAAGGTCGTGAATTCACTCTTTTCACGGACCATAAACCGCTCACTTTCTCGTTAAGCTCTCCTTCTGACAAGTACTCTCCCCGTGAGTCTCGACAACTGGACTACATTTCGCAGTTTACTTCAGACATTCAACACATCTCTGGAGCAAACAATGTAGTTGCAGACGCCTTATCTCGCATAACTTCCTTGAACAGTTTCCAAGGAATCGACCTTCTTAAACTCGCCGAGCTTCAAAAAGAAGACAGTGATCTTCAGCACGAGTTATCGTCCACAACACTTAAACTACGCATCAAACAGATGGGAACAGGTAAGGAAACCTTACTTTGTGACACATCTACAGGTAGGGATCGCCCAATCGTGCCGAAACATTATCGACGCAATGTCTTCAACACATTGCACAAACTTTCGCATCCAGGTGTTCGTGCAACCATCAAGCTTATAGCAGAAAGGTTTTGCTGGCCTGGAATGAATAAAGACGTGAGGGAGTGGGCACGCTCCTGTGTAAGCTGCCAAAAATCTAAGGTTATCAGACACAATAAATGTCCCTTAGGCTCGTTTAAAACTCCCGATGCTCGTTTCGACCATGTTCATCTGGATTTGGCAGGACCTTTACCAGATTCAAATGGATACTCTTACCTCTTAACCTGCGTAGACCGTTTCACTCGATGGCCAGAAGCAGTACCTATCAAGGACATCACTGCTGAAACAGTGGCCCGCACCTTCGTCGAACGATGGGTGGCAAACTTCGGTTGCCCTTCAACCATCACTACAGACCGCGGACGTCAGTTTGAATCCGGTCTTTTCCGTCGTCTGACCACACTTTTAGGAATCACTCGCTTCCGAACGACCGCCTACCATCCACAAGCAAGCGGGTTGGTAGAACGTTTTCACCGACAACTGAAAGCTTCGCTATCAGCTGCAAACGTTTCACAGTGGACCGACGCTCTTCCACTTGTCTTACTAGGTATCCGCAATGCAGTGAAAGCTGACATTGGATACACTGCGGCTCAACTCGTTTATGGAACAACACTTCAACTTCCAGGAGAATTCGTGGATCCTTCGTCCTTTTCAATGAACATGGATCTAACCTCCTACACGAACAGGCTTACAAACGCAATGCGTTCAGTTAAACCTGCTTCCACTCGACCTCAATCAACTGATGTTTTCGTTCAACCTGACTTACGATATAGTACACACGTTTTCGTTCGTCGAGACTCGCATCGACGACCATTCGAATCAGCATACGAAGACCCTTCAAAGTTCTTCAACGTGAATCTAAGTACTATATAGTCGATAAGAACGGAACCAACGATAGCATCAGCATCGATCGCTTAAAAGCAGCGTATTTAGAAGGAAATCCTATCTACGTGGATTTCCCTTCGGTACAATCGAACGACACGACCCCAACACTTATAATACCTCATCCGACAACCAACACACACGATACTTCGACAGTATCCGAAAATAAACTTAAAACGACGCGTTCTGGAAGAAGGGTGAAATTTCCAGAACATTTAAACGACTATTGCACGTAAGGCACTTCTCGACATTTTATATTATTTTTTTTTTAAAAAAAAACAATTTTAATATGCTTATATATTTTTATTTCTATTTAAAAAAACAAAAAAAACACAATCTTTTTAACGCTATTACGTGTTCATGAGTTTATTTTCCATTTTTTTCCGCCGACATTGTGTTTTTACGCACATACGAGTGTATTTTCGACATGCACTTACATTTTCTTTTTTCTTTTCCAGGACGGCTGGAAAAAGAACGATGACGTTTATGAGGATCCGAAATTTTCATTGTACATTTTCTTTTTTTACTATGTTGTACCTCCGTCCTATATAGTAAGGAAAGACGACCAGACGCTGCTAAATTTAGTAAGCTATCAGAAGAGTGTTTACCAACGACAAACTCGTTGGGTTTAAACTTCTGGCTGGCCACGTCTTAGGGTCGTCACTGCCCCACTAGGGGGGGAGTGATCTGTAGCGGTAAATAAATCCCCAAAATAAATAGCTCTGTAAGTTTTCGACATTGGATGCTGACCATATGTTTTAGTGGACTCATCTAACTGAAGGCGCTCGGTCAGGCATCCGCATCAGATCACGTGTGGTAACGCCGTGCTCAACATCAACCACAATCGCTAGCCAGATTAGATCAGAGAATTCCGATATATTGGTCATCGCCAAATATACTCTTCCGATCTCCTCGACTCTGTCTTTTGATTTCTCTGGGTGGGAACGAAATATATTAGAAGGTGTTACTGGTAAAAGCGTTGTCAAACACTGAATACCTGTGGCATCATCATGGCTAAATCTTAATCAATTAACCTGAGTTGTTACAGAACTTCGCTCCTCGACCAAATTATCTTGACCTTTATTTTTTAGAGGAAACACAACATGAACAATACTTCCCTCTCGAAATACCAGGGTTCAGATCCCAAAGAGCACAATTCTCCTATTCTACCAAAGTTGTAGTACTAATTTACAGAGGCTGATTGCTATTATTAATTATCATATACCTGAAGTTTAAATAAACACGCTGATGATCACCTGTCATCGGATGTGAGGGATTGCTATGCGAACGACTTACTGAGTCCTCAAACATCTTAAGGTACTAAATAGACGCGGCACTCTCAACTTGTGCGCCACTTGGTGTAGTTTCGGGTTTGTTTGTTACGTTATTTTTAAACTATGGGACTTGAAAGTGTGTATACTCTTTGATCACAAACTTAAATAACATCAAAACGTCATCCTTCCTGCGTGTAACAACCGCGGTAGAGAAAACTATACAGTTCCATCCAAACTCCAACAATTAGGATAACACGTTTTACCTGTTTTTATCCAAACAATATGCATTTATGTTTATGTTCGGTCTCTACCTAAAAAACTGCTGATTAAATGGGCAGTTGTTTGATCGGATACTCTACTTGTCCAACACTCGGATGAAACACTATATATATAGTCTGTTTCATCCTAGTGGACTATAATCCATTCAATTCTAAATGGACTTTGGGAATATTCTCAATATTCAGTACCATAGGTTGTAACTTAAGACATCATTAATGGTCTCTTCTGGGCGTTTTTTGGAAGTTTTAATTAAATGACTGAGATTCTTTAACAAGTTGGGTAACTCTGCCAACCCACTAGTCATAATATTTGGACTTGTAATGAGCTGTTTCAGTAAAGTGAATTATTTTGGGCTTATCTGGTATTAAGTGCTATGCGTGTGCCATTCTAGACACTGTAGTCAAGCAGGACTTGGAGAAACCCTGAGATATAAAAACTTGGCTTGCCAATGAAGACGAAAATTATGCAATGATATTTATTGGCATAATTGATTTGTATTTTTACTCACGCCTACTTTCTTTCTCTCTTTCTCTTTAATCCGATTTCTGACTGTTCTAAAATCGTGTCAACTGGTGTTATCAATATAGCTTAGGTACTTATGTGGTGTCGTGTTAAATTAAAAAGGATAACCAAGTAAAATATGAAGTGAATGCAGAATCTAGCGAAACGATCCAGACAAATGATACATGGAATAAATATTGGAACTCATAACATTTTTTTAAACCGTTCAAAAACAAAATCTACAGATTGGATTGCCACTCGCCTCGTGAGTTTTACGTGATATCTTAGGTCAGTTAGTCTCATGACCTCTAAAATTTTGCCCAGTGGTCCAACTGTCCAAGGTAATTGCTATAGCCACTAAGCTTCCGCTTCACACTTAAGCTAGAGAGACTAAGGTGTTCTTGGGTCTGTCAAGCAACTGTTGAGTATCTTTATCCTTCAAATCCTAGTACATGGATATACCTATCCACGTATCTCGAGGTGAAGAACTTTCCGGCTAACTCTATCGATTTACCTGTTCCTGACATAGGATTTCATCAAGAGGTGTATTGCACTAGCGAATGTTGCTTTCCTAGATAATTTTGATCATATTAAAATTCACGGTGTGCTATTTTATAAAATGACTGCATCACATATCATTCATCAAGATTATCAGGTACTCATTATTCATCTTTATGATCAGCCATAGGCAACCTAAGATCTTTAGTGCGAGTACCAATATAAGTCAACACACTGCATATCAACACTGTACATAACACAAAAGCAAACCACTCGATCATAACGAGAATAGGGCTTGGGACAAAGCTGTCCTAGCCCAAAATAATGACTAGAACTGTCGATAATTGAAAAAGATAAATATAGGGAGTGTAGTTTCAGAGAAATTAGTAAAATGATAAGTAATATCCACACCGCCAGAAGTGATTTTTATTCTTGTTACCTGAGCTCTTTAACTTCAGGTTAGGATTATCACATGAAATCCAACTAGGAAGTATCGCTCTTGACATAGTTGAAAATCGCTGACTTTGTGAACTAAAGACGACTTACGCCTGCAAATCCTAGCTTTTCTGTGCCTACTTCTATCATACCCAGCCACTTGTCGCCTTTTTATCTGTACTTAGGACCTTGTGACCTCAGAATTATTCGAGATTTAGTCTACCTAGAAGTCTAATCAACATAAGTCAGATGATCACTCGTTAATGCAAGTTCTCAATTTCCAGAAATTAAAATAGATCCAATCTGTATATAGCTTGTTCGTACAAAGTTACTTGTATGTTTTGATAGTAAAGTGTTGCAGTCAAAAGAAGCACTGTAGGTACTTGATAACTGGAAACCACTATTTTTTGACATAAATAAGAACGTAAAAACTGATCCAGATAAAAATTTGTTTCTTATTCGAAAACACTGACAGTCGTTGTAACGGTAGATGACTGATATTAACCACTCAAACCTTAGAGTCGCACAAATTAAACCAAAACACAAAGACGTTAAATATTTATTTAACACAAACAAATAAAACATGTCCAAATACACTAAATTTTATACGATCTACATTAATTACCAGTCAAGTTTGTATACATTAAACTAACTTTAAGCAATCTATAAGTTTCTTTATGTACGCATTTACAATATCATAAAATTAAACGTCTACAACCATTATATGTAACTTGTGCTCATTTACGCTTGTTACTCCTCGGGGAGGAGCATAAGCCACCCACCATCCCTGTCCTGGGCAATCATTTACAGTTGCTATTCATCCATTTTATGTCTGCTTCTGATTCCCGACGTAGTGTGTCCTTCGGCCTTTTCCTTTTCACTTTAAGATTCCAAGTTAGCGCTTGCCTCGTAATGCAGTTTAGTAATTTCCGTAATATATATCTTATCCACTTCCAACTTTAACTACTTTCCTCTTCATCTGGAAGCTGGTTTGTTCTCTCCCACAGTAGGCTGTTATTGATGGTATCCGGCCAAAGGATGTTGAGTATCTTGCGTAGAAAACGATTTATAAATACTTATACCTTCTTGATGATGGTTGTAGCAGTCCTCCAAGTTTTAGCTCCATACAGTAGGACTGTCTTAAAGTTCGTATCGAAGATTCTGTCTTTGATGTTGGTGGGCAGTTGTTTTGATATGCAATTTATACTATGTAATTACCCCTTCTTAACATTCAATTACATTTTTAAGACTTGTAGAAAAATCTGTTTCATACATCCTCGCTAAGTAAGGAAAAATAAGTTAATTCGTTTGCCAGGTAGTTTTATTTATTTATTTATTTGAACACAAATATTGGTACAAGAGGGCACCAAATATATATGTGCCAGGTAGTTAGTTATTAGCGACACTAAATTCAAGGGCTGGCGATACTATCTGATTGCCAAAATCAACATGCGGCGCGTATACAGTCACTGCCAAGGAAGTCCTATTCACTGCCCTCTCGTGGCGGTGGTGTTGTTTACTACATTGAGAGGACGAAAAGCGAATGTCCGGCACTTTGACCGGGTTGATGGATGTGGACGATCCATAGATCAAGTGACTTTTTTGGCGCATATGTTTTCGGTGCCCCTTTGTACCACTATTTATGTGTTCAAATAAATAATAAACAAATAAATACTTTTTTAACAATAGAATCTCACTGTGTATCTTTAAAAATAGTTGATTGTTTGTTCTGATTGATACGTTTTACAGGTAATGGCTTATAAATCCAGACATCATATTGAAGTAAGCTCAGTTGCACTGGTAGACTTAAAAGCAGAAATATCAAGAAGACAGATTGAAGTTAAACAAAAAGTTGAGAAACATCCAGATGGCTGTAATGTGATAAGGAATCGTTCTGCTGAATTAAAACCTGGCAAAGTATCACTGTGGAAAACTTCGAAAGAACAAATCTTAGAAGAGCGTACAAGGTTGGAATCTGAAAACATACCCTCCGATGCTGAAGAGTATGCAGAATGGGAAAAAAGTAGAAGAGCATTAGAAGCTAAAGCAAAACTCTACGATGCTCTACGAGAAGCCGCAATGTCTGGAAAGAAACCTAATTTAACAAAGAGAGATGAAAATGATGGAGACATTCTGGTTGATTTTGAACAAAAAGCCACAGAAAATTTAAATTTAGTTCCTCCAGATTCTCCTACGCGTTCTCGCTCTACTTTTAGTAGCGATGAAGACTCTGATAATTATCCCGCTGGTTGTAGTGATGAAGAATGGGAGGATTACACAGATGAACGTGGTGTCAAACGAGTTTGTATGCGCAAAGACCTGTCTAGTCACATCAAGCAGTCTAGTCCACCTAAACCAGATGGTCCACTCACATATGCACATTTGAGAGAAGGAGAAATACGCGATCATGGTGTTGGATTCTATTCTTTTTCTACAGATCTTGAACAGAGAGAGGCTGAAATGAATCGCTTACGAGAACTTCATCGGGCTACTGAAGAAGGACGTGCTCGAGCTGAAGCGATTCGAGCGAAAAGAGATGCTAAAATGGGTCAACGTCTTGCACGCTTGCGTGCCCGTAAAGGTTTACCAGATGTAGCAACTGCTGCTGCACAGTGTCTGGGAGAGGCTGCAGTTCCTGCAACACCTACTCCAATAGGTGCAGATGCCCAATCTGATATTCGTCTGAGTAACGATGATCTAGATGTTGCGTCTATGTTGCGTAGATTACGCGATGAAGCTGAACATAGAGCTGCTATCAATAATAGTAAATTGAGTGAATCGACAAACAGTATCCCTCCTGAGCCTGAGCCTGAACATAGAACAAATTTAGCTGATGTGCTAGCATCTCAAAATCCAAGCCGTCCATCCTACGGTAGTAAACAAAGAGAATGGGATAAAGGAAAGTCAATGATTTCAGCACAGCGTTACATTCAAGAAGAACGTGATAAGCGAATTGCAGACTTTGCCCCTCCATCTCATTATTAAAATTTATTTTTGTTTGTATATATCTTTTTAGCAGTGAAATATCAAACTTTACCTATCACCTATTGTTTTTACAAAAAGTTCGTCTGTATTTGTATGAATGATATTTTAACTACAACAGACATCATTTAGTGATACATAATCTACCAAACATCTAAATCATTGTGCTATACTGGCTAGCTTAGACTATAGTTAAAAAAGGCTGTTAGTCTCCAGATCATTGAAGGATGTTAGTTATTAAAGTCACCAATCCATCGATATAAACTGTAGTGAGGTCCATGTTTATTGATTGAGATTCGCGAGATAACAGTCGGTCGTAATTGCGTTGACGTATCCGCTACAAAGCCTATCTCAGGTCGAGGCACGGCGGATACAGTTGTCATTTTGAGAGATATCATCCTAAATTGTACATTACCTTCTAACGGATAAGAACAGGATGAACTCCTGTTAGGTATCTGGTGGAAGTTTATTTAATCTGAAAATGGGGTTTTCAATAGTGAACTGAAATAATAACGTCAAAATAATGTTTAAAAGAAAACCAACTAAACAAGACTAAGCAGCTGTTTTACTCCCAATTTAAAAATTCTCATTGCTGTTCAGTCCTCACATCCTCGTATTTTCGCGATACAAAAGGCGCGATACTATTTAGTTGCTGAGTTATGCAATATAGTAGTTTAGAATTTCTAACTTCAATCCACTCATAATATAGTACGATAAACATCAAATGTTACCAGTAACTAGTAACCCTCACTGTCTATGATTCTGTATGCATGTCTGGTTACCAGTGCAATCTACCAAGGATTATTGAACCAAAATAACGTGGTTGTCCCGTATTTTTCCTGCTTTTCGGTAATTCTCTAGTTGACATAAGTCAGTGATTATAGATTGTCTTCAGATATGAATTTTTACGCTCACTGGTGAGAGAGTTATTTCCAAGAGTTCTAGTGAGAAGTCATGATCAGTGAAATTCAACCATATCGGGTGTAGGGCATTTATCTGCCATTGGAAGATATTTTCTCAATAATGCAAATTGATTGATGTAAGAAATGTAAACCATTGTTTATCACCAGCTCAGTGGTATAAAGGTTAAATAGGTTTATCACCGTAGTTGAGACGACCATTTTATTCTTTTATCTCGACCAAATAAACTTCAGGAATTGAAAAAATGTTAGGATTGTCTTGATGAGCACTCATTTGCTGGATACCGGTTCATATGCTTGACTTCAATCCACATTCTAAGCATAAAGGATATTGATAATACCCGGTCTTTTAGCCACTAAGTCCCAAGTTCAAACACCACTCTGCCTACTTCAATTTGACTTTCTGAGAGGTATCATTAGCCTTCACACCTATTGCGGCTAATACTCAAGTACCTAGTGAGTTAACAAAGTCAAATCAACTACCCGGACATCCGATCCAGAATAGACGGAGTGAAGCTCAAACCCACGATTTAGTATTGAAAACTGAATACTTTAATCACTGAACTACTACTCATCTTAATTATTTGTTACTTGAATTCCAATTTCAACGTTACACTGTAATCACCCCGTATATCACATGAATTCTTGGAAAAAGATTTCCCATCTTGAAGTTTATTTTAATATTATCTACATTTTCGTATTGGATATTACATCAATATAGAAGTGTTTTAAAATTAAAATACAAAATTATTAGAAATCCATGACTTTAGTGAGCTCCTAATAGAAGAATATCTAGAAGTTAATCTTATGTTACCATCGCGAATTGAATTTGTTTTTAATGTTCCCAAGTATGAATGTTTGTTACACCACTGATTTTCTTAAATTATTTCACACACAGGAGCCACTATCTGATCAGATGTCTTGTTCTATGGGTCATCTTGTTAGTAATGATGATGAAATACATCCGGAGAAATTCCCGTCGATTTCCTCAACTAAGGTTCTTACTCCTATTGAAGGTTCAAATGAAACTTTTCGTCAAAGGCAATCAGACGTTTTTTCTGCACTAGCTAGCCTAGAAGCAGCTCATCTTGAAGTGTACAAGGCTACAAAAGAAGAACGTAAAGCTGTGCGTAAAGCAGCTTGGCGCCATACAATTACTGCCCCAGAAAATTTAGCAGAGTTGAAAGAACGTGTAAGTGTTTTACATTTTCGCGTTTTAGATTTTTTTTGTTTGGTGTTATTTGAAAAGTGTGTTCAATTATATCCCTACTTAGCCTAAAATTCTTTGATCGACTGATAACCAAACCCATCACCTACCTCGACACACAATATCTACTGACTCAGGAGCGAATTAGAAGAAAGCTATTCTGGTTAGCATTTTTTTAGCAAGCTTTACCACGGGATGGAGATGCTGACCCCACGCCCGACCCTCCTCTTTTACCCGGGCTTGGGACGGGCAGTAGCCCTAGAAGAGCTACAGGCGGAGTTTGGAAGAAATCTAGAACATATAAAAACAAGATGTGGCATTAGTCCATAAGGCAACTGATTTTTGAACCGAGCGGCGTAGATTGGTGCAGACTACCTGGTTACGATCAGCTTGATTATCATAACTAATGGTAATTAACTTTGAGCGGTATGACTCAGAGTCGATAGAAATACCTCAGATACATCCACTTTTTCTGCATCCTTAGGTTCTTCGTCTTAAAATTATCCGATACTTTTTTTATTCTGCGAATTCATTCATTTCCTAATCAATTTCTAATTCATGCTACTACCATTGATACTGTTACTACTACTCTGATATTTAACTCGATGTGCTGGTATACGATCTGGGAACTCTTAAACCACTGCACATATGCCAGGTTCTATGTTTTTATTATAACCGAATGACTTACCGAAAAAAAGAGGAACTCCTAGAATAACTGTTTAAAACCATCAGGTCAACTTGTCAGTTCATCAGTTGTATATCTTATATCAGGATCTATATAGCTTCCGTATATGATATCTTCGTTAAATCACAAAAATCTATCTGACGTTGTTCTTCGATAACATAGATCAGTTCACTTTTTATTTCAAGATCTATGCTGAGTTACTAATTTTTATTCGCTTTATTCAACTTGAGTTATACGAGGAGACAAAATAATTTGATACAATCTATTATAGGACACCATTTTAAACGACTGTGTAAAAATATGCTACAGTTTAACTCTCCATACTTTTTAAACCATTTTATATTTCCCTTCTTTAATATCCGTAAATTTTATGGTATACATGTCAGCATGGTAGTTTAGATTCTCCATGAAAATTTAATTCTTACGTTTGGAGTCTGACTTTTTGAGATAATCCCAATCAATCAAGTAGTATAAACTAAACTAAGAGATTCCGCTGATGTTTGTCGTCTGAAAATTTCCTGAAACTCGCAAAGGACATTAATAATATTATTGCTTATTGGCTGTTACAAACTAACGCCACCTATAGTGTCAGTGAGACATTTGTCCGTCTTTTAAAGGGTAAATATATTGCGCGTCACTTCAATGTCTAGTGTCATAACCTTCAAAAGTAGAGGACATTCATATTCAACTATGTTAGTTTGTTAGGTAGAAAAGCCTTGTCATCTGAGGGTTCTGGGACATATGTTGTGCATGCTCTACTTCTGGCTACCTTGATGTGCGATGATAGATTAAAGTAGGAATAGGTTTGAGAAAAGTTACTGTCAAACCAAAGAAGCACCAGTCTGTTTAGTTATTGAATTGTTGATCTAAATTACTTTGGTAAGTGGTAGGCACGTAATTAGAGCCAGTGAAATAATTGTAACCAATTTCTTGGGACTGGCTGTGTTCCATAGCGCATAACCCACTGCACATAGTAGACAGATTGATTTCTTGTCTTCTAAATCTTGAGTTTAGTGTCTTTCCATACTCTCCTTTGTTTTGTCTCTCATTGCTAACGTGATTAACTCAATTCTTATTCTGTGCGTGTTGTTAACTTCATGTCGTCGCGCTAATAGGAACGTGGATTAATGTAAATTTGTTGTCAGCTGTGTTGATTGTGACTAACTCCATAATATACGATGAAACAACAATGTAGAGTTTTGAACTTCACAAACGTTCGTCTGTATAGTTGTGTTTTGCAATAATTTATGTTCCTAAACTGAACAGAAACCAGAATTTTAGCTGACGAATTAAAACATTAGCAAGTTCTCATTAATGCTCGTTTGGCTGAGGAACGTTACATTTTGAGTTGTAAAATCACTGTGACCGTCATTACCCCTTTTTCGATTGCCATCGGACCAAGGTCAGTTCGTGATGCAAACTATAAAATCAAACAAGACTCACACCCTAACACTAATTGTAATTATGTACTCACCGCTAGTGATTGATTTCAAGAGGCACTCGGAGTATTAGTGAGGAACCATCACCTACGGAGTTCAACTATATATCAAGTTTCAGGCACTTACGCACTATCGCAGAATTATTAAATTAAGATATGTGAAACATCTGATCCCAATTTATTTTTTGAAGGTTAATTATTTGCCATGAGACCCGGATATTCTGAATTCGATCCCTGATGAATTTGTAGATACGCAATGCTGAGGATTAAACATCCATCTGGCACCTTTTGGTTTTCAATGGTTGTTTGACTAAAATTAGTGAACAATGAAAAATTACTTGATGTTGATATTTAATTTTATTATTTAGTTATAGTTGTTGTAGACAAATATGAAGTGTATAAAATGCATAATTATTTCAGCTGTGTAACCCTCTATCCGATGTGTCAATAAAAAGCCAGGCCATCCATACAATGTTTTTGTTGAATCATTAATCGGTCAAGTGCTAATTGCGATCAAATATCTTGTGTTAAAATACAATAAGCTTTGGAATATATCTATTTGAATGAATACTGCTTGGGTTCGGTTGTTGTATAGTAACGAACTAGATTTTACTGTTTAATCCACAGATAATTTTTTGATATTTGTAAATGTTTTCTCTCTCCTTTAAGCTATATTTTATTTTTAGCGCGATCATGTTCAAACAGCTAGTGGTAAAGAGCATGGAACATGTCAGACACAAAATCCAACTTTTCGAAAACCTAACGCCCTCCCACCATCAACACATCGCCGACCAAACTATGTACATCGAGATCCTAGTAAATGGACACATTATAGTTTAGCTGATGTTAATGAAGATCCTGATGTTAGTAATAACTCACTCGCTATGGCTTTAATAAATGAACTCCGACAATCTCGAGACAGCACAGAAACTGTACAAAATGATGAGGTCGGCTCAACAAACCCACGTCATAACAATCGAATATTGTTTCGTCCAACACGAGGTAGAAAACGGGCTCGTCTCACTGAAGAAAATCTACAAAAACCCGAAGTGCATCTAGAGAGTTGTTTTTACACGCCAGATACAGATGAACTACAAAGTTCCACCGATGATTCAGTACCTTCGTCTAATCGTAGTGAAAGTTCGTGCGCTCCTGTGGCAGTCTTTGTGAATCGACGGCACAAAGGTCAGATACGTAATCGACAATTAGATAACCCAGCAGATAGTGATCACCAGTCATTTGATGATCAACCGGTAAATACTGTTGTAGTTAACTCAGATTATGATGATAAAATTGATCAAGACCTTGATATGGATTCTGATGAGTTAGAAGAAGATCCGGAAGAAGATAAGACAAATGACTACTTAGCTTAATTTGTGACATGTATTTAATTTGTCTTCGTTATCCTTTTGTTTGCATAAAAACAATATTGTAATTAAACAAATTAAATATATCTTGTACAGATTTTTTGTTCATCAACTTCACAATGTTGGTCTTTTATTCACCACAGTCAAGTCAACCAAACAGTTGTTTTGATCTTTCAAATAATGCTTATCGGTAATACGATTACACAAATTCGTGGGATTTAAGTGTAATTTATCTAGACAATCTAAGCTACAATTTGTCAGTGAGTGAAAAGAGACAACCGAACGCATCACATATGATGGGCTAATCTAATAATAGTATTAGTCATTGAGTAATGGCCAATGTTATGTTTGTCTAGTCCAATAGTGCTAATTAAATCCTATTGAACAAGTTGTTGTGTTGATGCACTAGTCTGATGCAACATTGCGTGAAACACACTGATGTTTGGGCGCGGCAAAAATGACTCGCTGGTAACATTTATTGATTGTAGAACTTCGTGACCCGTGTACAGATCTCACTGGGAGAATCAGTTCGTGTGAAATTAAAGATACGCTTTTCCGACGAGTGCCAACTGGTATGGAATATAAACTAAGCAGTTTCCTGCCGACTACATTCAACCACTTGACAGGACTAATTCATTATAAACAGACTTTTTCCTACTCTGATTTTTTAATATCAGTACACTTTTGTGTTATTGATATCTAAGTTTTTATTAAACATTCGGGCGAGTGTGTCTCTTCTCATGTTATGTACCAATGTTCCCACTATGCAGAATATTTTGACTGGGATTATCTTATCAGCAATAATGAATGAACTTTTGCAGTAATAGAAAAAGCTTATTGAGTTGCTATTGGGTAAATATGACAACAATCGAAAACTAACGCTTGAAATTCTATCCCGTAATTGTGTTATTTTTGAAGTTAAAGCCAAATTTGATTTAAGGTGGAATTGTTTCAGTTGCTCAACGTTTGAAAAGTAGATAATAAGAATTTCATTAATATGTAGTTTGTAAACATTAATTAGAGGTATGATATGTGGTAAGCATTGTTATATTTGGTGTCAGTTGGAAATCTGATAGGCACTCAATGATAATACACAAAACCGTATGAACTTACTGATGGTTTTGGCAATCATTTCAGTTCTCAAACTGAAAAACATGTCACCCAAAAGCCATAATCAAACGTCATAATTTTTTATTAAGGTCAATCAAGAAAACTAAAAAGCACATCATTACATCAGTCTAAACTACATTATCCATATGATGATCATAGACCGGTCTGTATTACGGCATTTGCTAACGTGTTAACCCTATAAGCGATGATCGAAACGCAAACAAACTCCATTTGAGGATATGTTAACTATTACATGCACAATATGTTTAATTGGCGGTATAAAGAGTATCACTAGACGACATGGTCAGTAACTCAACTAATTACTGAAGAATAGAAAGTAATTTTGTATGTAATGATTGGATGAAACAAAATAATGGTGCATCAAATTGATTTACTGGAACTTGGAATGAATGGCACGGTGATGAGTGAAAAGTTAAATATGATAAAACTGGAGAATGAATTGGTGATAGACAAGTTAGGGAGAAAATTTTCACATCACTACCACTTAATCAATGTCTTATTATAGAGCCATCGCTCTACTGCATACATACGATCAAAACAATAAGTTACGCTATGATCCAACTCGATACATTATTGTAAGTAAATAGCAAATAATTATTAACTAATTTTGAGGATTTAAACATTCTGAACTAGAGTTAACTACATTGTTATATTTAGTGAACATGTTGATAAATATTAAGGACCTACAAACCCACTAAATGAAAAGCTTTTTATGTTCTACATCTTTTGTCACATATATACTTTTTAAAAGTTACAGATCAAGAAACCAGTCAGTTATTCATAATCGACGTAAAGCCTGGCACAAATATGTGTAAGCTCGATTTCCTTACCATAACCATATTGACGTGACGAATATGAAAAGGAGTAGAAATAATGATAGCGAGGAAGATTAAATATTGAAAATACAATTTGAGAAAACAATGGAAACGATATGTATGAAGAAAAACTGTAAATAAATATAAAGTATACATGGATCAGCGCTGTTGGGATTAATTCTGAGTCATGTTTTCATTCAAAGTCTTCAACCAATAATCGTAGTTATCAAGCGGAACCCCAACCAAGTAGTCTGAACTTGCGTAAACGGCTCAGTCAGTGACTTCATAAATTGATCTCATGTTTTGATTTCCCCGCTCCTAGCTATCTTCCAACCTATTACACTAGTCAACATCTTGCGCCGTGGTGGGTGATCGTTAGGCCTTAATCATTCAGTACTCGTAAATTGTTTTTGACTTAAAACCTATATCCTTTGAAATTTAAAATTTTTAAATACGATGATAATAAGCAAGCAAGAACAAAAAATTGAGCTCAATTCTTTGTTTATGCTCTATTCAAGATGATAAAGGGGACCAAATGTATGAAACGATACCGTCAACTTTTTCACATATTTTAGGAATGTAGCTGTAAAAGAGCAACAAACCTCAACCCGACATAGGAAGTACAGACAGAAGAAAATGAATCACAATTATTTGTAAGTGGTTTACACTGATCGTTTACAATAAAGTGATCACGTATATTTAAAACCAAAATACATGATCAGGCAAGTAAAAATATGTGTGATAATGGTACATATTACCATTCATACACACAGAACAATCAGGAATGGATGAAAATAGAACGTTGAAACATTATTGAAATAAATCCATCATATTGTATATAAATTAGCAAACAGAGAGAAAAAACACTTGTTATTATTTAGTAACTTGGTGTATAGCATGAGCTAAGTAGTCGACATTTTTAGATGATAAGCCAGCAATACTAATACGTCCATCTTTAGTTAAATAAATAGAATATTCATTAGTTAGCTTTTCAACCTGAAATTTAAAAAGATATGTATGCTTATATAGGAATCACTGTAATACGGGAAATTAAAATACTGGTTTATTTAGTCCGACCTGGTCATGAGGCTAGTATAAGTTAATCACTATAATTTTCTGGGCTAGTAATGTTCTCTCAAAGTCAGTACTCAAAACGTATCTTTGTATTAATATCACTACGAATTCCCTATATCACTTCATATACTGTACCAATGTGCACCATTGGTTTTATATCAGGGTTTTCCAACCCCTTCAGGTGGATCCTCCGTGTCTATTAACCTGGTTAAAGCGCCGGACATTAGAATTTTGTCCTCTCGATTTCGTAAATAACAACCCCTCCATGAGAAGTCAGTCAGCCACAACGTAGAATCAGGCAAATATATGCATCGGTCTAAGTTGCCATGCTTCATTAGCACAACAAGATGAACACCGGATTCATAAAAGTAGTTAATTCAGTTGTGGTAATATATAAAAGAAAGATTGCACATAAGGATATAGTATAGGAAGAAAGAATTAGTTCGTAGAAAGAAAGATATGAAGCGATTTTAATCTCTTATTTTAAGGGAAGACAGAGAGTGTATACACCTATGCCATTGTGATCGTTCTGAGCCATGTCACCTAGAGTCTCCAACCATTGGTTACGATAGTCACGCGGACCCCAACCAAGTAGTCTGCATCTCCCAACATGGCCTCAGACTAGAAGTTAGTGACTTCAAGGACTGATACCACGTTTTAGTTTGGCCGCCCTTAACTTTCTTCCAACCATTCCCAACACTAGTCAGCACTGCACGTCGTGGTAATCGGTATTCAGGCATACGTAACACGTGGCCCGACTATCTCAGGAGATGAGGATTCACAACCGCCACGAGAAGGCAGTGAGTAGGATTCCCCTGGAAGTGGCTGTATACGCATGGCCATGTGAGAGCATCTCGAAAGGGAGAGAAGACTCTCCCAACCCTCGTCCGTACCAGGGCATTTGAGGGCACTAATATAGGCTCGTAATTTCAATTAAGTATAGCAAACTCCGCAATCCATAAGAATAAATAAATCGGTCGACGCACTCAACTACTTCCCCGCCTTATGATGGACCCAGATGACTTAGATCATCCTGAAGCAACATTTCGCATTTGGAGAGAGAAAAGGACCTTTCAAATATACTCGTATCGTTACTCAAGACGATCAAAAGATTCTGTTTTTTTCAACATTATAAAACAGCAGTACGTTATCTGTCTATTCTAACTCGATAGTTCGAATGTTCCCTATCAATTCTAAAACATTAATAATAATAATAATAACTCACCTGGGATGGATTAAGCCCAGAATAGCAAAACATTCCAATTTGATTAGTGATATGTGACCAATCATGATGAGATCCTGCTTTGATTAAACTATTTCTTAAACTCTGACGCATTGTAATAATACGATCAGCCATAGTTTTCAAATCAATGAGCCTTTTTTAAAAATATGTAAATAATATCATAAATGAATTGAACAGGCGGATGAATCGACTGATGGATGTAAAAGTTGGGCGAGTTTTCCAAAGCTAAACATTTATTTCACATACAAACATTATGGTAGCTTAGTGTAATGCCAGTAGCTTGGATATTTTTTACGAATTCCATACCAGTGGCTTTTATATCGCGCATTAATTGTCGACACTGTAACCGAGCAGACAAGAAAGGAAGAGGTGCTCACTTTATGACATGGCGCTGTGATGTGGAGGAAAACTATAGGTCTAGTACCTACTGGCTCATCACCACTCCTTGTATGGATTTCTAACGAGCATCCAACTCAGAAACTCGAGACGTTAGCTGACATGGCTCAGAATAGAAACCAGTGTGGTCACTGCTTTATTTTTCTCACACATTCTTCGAAAATATTGGAGGAATCCCCGTATGCATCAGTCACTTCTATCAGACACCAAGTATTGACTATGATTAATCCATTATTTTCTGAGATAAATCTTCAAGATTCAGATTTTATTCAATATCCGTTTGGTTGGATATATCGAGTGACATATTGTTTAGAATCGGTCACAATGGTCCAGATTAATTTACTGTT